TCGGTATAAAATATGGTGCTATGGTGTTTTATTGATGAAATCTGAATTCTTTTAAATAAAAATACCATACTGTTATACTTTTTGTCAGTAGAAACTACGTTCGTATAAAATTATTTTGTCTCGGCTAAGAAGAGCAGTAGTTGATGAAAGTAAAAGAACTATAGACGTTAAGCCGCTGTCGGCTTTAATAGAAACTATTAGGTCTATATATGTATGGTTAAGTAAATATAGTTCGTTTTTTAACCTCAGGATCCATGTAGCAGGTGAAGTAGAGTTTGCACGGTAGAGTTGACCACGGTATATGAAGGGATAGTGTGGTCAGCACTATGCCCGTTTCATTAACCGCGGCATATTGACCACGGCATAATGCCTAGCTGCCATTACCTTCCTATGAATCTACAGTCAGAAGAGTGTTGACTCAGAAGCGTCCCCCGCCACCCAAAAAAAAATTATAAAAAGAGGATATGAAATTTGTACTTAAAGCTTTTGGATCTTGTCCAGATAAGCCCCGCCACTAATGCAAATAAACCGGGAGTGATCTCCCCTAAACTTTCTCGAATATCCTTATATAAAAAAACAGGAAATGGAACTCGGGCTATAGACACGAATTTTAATCCATTTTAAATACTTAAACTTTTTAAAATAGAATAAAATCTCGTAGAAAAAAGAATTGCACACTTGTGAACGCCAAATAAAATGTGCATAATAGTGCGGAATATTATTAGTACTTTATAAATTTACATTCGTTTTTTTGAGAAATCGGAAATAGCGTAAATTAGTACCTCCGATCAACGGAAATTACTCAAATTTGACAGAAGGTAGAGAATTAGATCTTTTACTTACATGTGAAATTTCATTTATCTATCTGAAATAATACTCAAGTTATATGCTTTTGAAAAATTCAAAGTAGAAAAAATACCACTTCCGGTTATCGGAAATCGCTCAAAAGTTGATCAGGATCCACGATTTTGATATAATTCTTATATATGAAATTTCATCAACCTAGCTGTAACGGTACTCAAGTTATCGTGTTTACACACGGACAGACACACACACACAGACAGACAGACACACAGACATACGGATAGAATTGCAAAGCCCAGTTTTTCAGATTGGATTACGCATAAAACCTCTTAATTTTGATAAATTTGGATTGATAATTTTTGCCCGATTAAAATAAGTCCTCTATACTTTGGATGTGATGAAGGACTGAGGAGTAAAACTGTGAAAACTGTCCAAATTTCATGTTATTTTTTTGCACGATTACAAGACTTTCTCTATACTTCGTATATACGAGAAAGTAAAAATGCACGGTCGAAAATTTAAGCCCCGACACTTTTACGCCAGCTTCAGTTTGACTTTAATGCACTCACGCATTATTGATCTATTAATGATGTCTAGACATTTCAATATTTAAACACAGGTCATAAAAACACCTTTGTCGAGATCCTAGACAGCCAAACACATTCCCCGAGATCAGGACAAAAACCGATTTTCAATCATTTGCCTAACCTGAACCTACCCAAAACGTCACGATTGTGTAAATCTTTATGGTGCTACGAAGGTGCATCAAGCTATGCGCACCACGTTTTGGAAAATCCACAATTGTACACGGTAGGACCACCAAGGCACCGGAAACTACCGCAGTATATTTTTGTTTTAACCTCCTTGCTTACCGATGTGGAAGTAAAGAAAAACTTCTCTCAAGTTTTCTTTCTCATTCCACTACCATGGTAGAAATTTTATTTTTATTTTTTAAATTAATTTAGGTGTTATTTCAACAAATTATTTTACAGGTCGCGTTTAAAAAACCCGTTCATAAAATAGAGCAATAGGTCCATATTTTAGTCTCAAATAAAATTTAAAAAATTGGAAATTCATGACATTATCGTAAGATGTAAACAAACACTAAGCACTGACACGTTTATTCGTCACAAAACTTAATTACACATTTTAACTATTTCAACCTCTGGAGTACCCTAGGTTTTGGGGAGCTTAAGGTTGAACATTATTTTAAAATAAATTAGACTAAAAAATATGGGTTGCATTTTTTTAAAGAAAAGCTTTATATCAGTTAGGCTTTAATAAATATTAGTCTTTAGTTAGACTGGTGGCATAGGGTTAATTTCGTTGCAGCGAGTTTCAAAAACACATACTTTATTTATAATTTTATATATATATATATATATATATATATATATATATATATATATATATATATATATATATATATATATATATATGTAAGGCATATATGTACATAGGCATATATATAAATATATAGTTGTTATTTCCGTACGTTTTTCATATACACCTATCCTTATCTCAATCTGAAGTACTCACCCTATCCCTAACTTCTCAACAATGTTCATGTCCATATCTAATCTCTAAATACCTGGCGGGATAGGAAAGGGGGGGGGGGGGGGGATTACTGACAAAAGAGTATGATTTTCTACTTCAGATTTTCGTTGTATTATGTGACGAGTGGGGTACAATCGGCGAAGGGGGGGGGGGGGTGGGGGTGAATGTACTGCTTCTGTCTCACTCGCCTATCACATCCCCCCCCCCCCCCCGCATATATTCTTGCTCCAAATGACATCTCGCATCCGCATGTCACCTTACACATGTCACTTACCTCAAATTATCTCATCGCATATCATTTCTCATATAATATCATACACCCACAAGACAACTAAACACAAATGCCATCTGTCTCTGAATGTCCCCATATCTTCATATTTCTCTAAAAACACATGGCATTTCATGCCAACTCCCAATTTAAAAAAAAAAACCACATATTTCACGTATGTAAAACCTTACATGTCGAATACCCACAAATGCTATCTGTCTCTGAATGTCCCCATATCTCCATATTTCTCTAAAAACACATGACATTTCATGTTATATAGTATCCCTCATGTGAACTAACCACAAATGCCAACTCCCAATTTAAAAAATAAAACACATATTTCACGCATGTAAAACCTTACATGTCAAATACCCACTAATGCCATCTCCACATTTCTCTAAAAAAAAACATGACATTTTTTTGTTATGTAAAACCTTACATGTCAAATACCCACAAATGCAATCTCCACAATTCTCTAAAAAAAACATATCTTTTGTTATGTAAAACCTTACATGTCAAATACCCACAAATGCAATCTCCAAATTTCTCTAAAAAAACATATCTTTTGTTATGTAAAACCTTACATGTCAAATACCCACAAATGCAATCTCCACATTTCTCTAAAAAACATGATATTTTTTGTTATGTAAAACTTTACATGTCAACTACACACAAATGCTATCCCAATTTATCTAACAACATGAAATGTATGTAAAACTCTATATGTCAACTAACCACAAAATGCCATCCATCCCTGCATGTCCTCTGCGCGTACGTACAGGAGAGCACCGAAGTGAAGAACAGATTTGCTGGCATAGCAGATGTGCCCCCGGAGTCGCTAGTCAACGAATCTAGCCAGGCCGTGCTGTCGCCCTCTTCCAGTCAGATCATTAGCATACTCTCCTCAGATGAGTACCCGCTGGGTAAGTTTAGCTAGATCATTGGCTAAGTTTAGCTAGATCATTGGCTAAGTTTAGCCAGAGCATTGGCTAAGTTTAGACAGAGCATTGGCTAAGTTTAGCCAGAGCATTGGCTAAGTTTAACAAGATCATTGGCTAAGTTTAGCCAGATCATTGACTAAGTTTAGCCAGATCGTTGGCTAAGTTTAGCCAGAGCATTGGCTAAGTTTAGCAAGATCATCGGCTAAGTTTAACAAGATCATTAGCTAAGTTTAGCCAGATCATTGACTAAGTTTAGCCAGATCGTTGGCTAAGTTTAGCCAGGGCATTGGCTAAGTTTAGCCAGGGCATTGGCTAAGTTTAGCCAGATCGTTGGCTAAGTTTAGCCAGATCGTTGGCTAAGTTTAGCCAGGGCATTGGCTAAGTTTAGCCAGATCATTGGCTAAGTTTAACAAGATCATTGGCTAAGTTTAACATGATCATTAGCTAAGTTTAGCCAGATCATTGACTAAGTTTAGCCAGATTATTAGCTAAGTTTAGCCAGATCATTAGCTAAGTTTAGCCAGATCGTTGGCTAAGTTTAACAAGATCATTAGCTAAGTTTAGCCAGATCATTGACTAAGTTTAGCCAGATTATTAGCTAAGTTTAGCCAGAGCATTGGCTAAGTTTAGCCAGAGCATTGGCTAAGTTTAACAAGATCATTGGCTAAGTTTAGCCAGATCGTTGGCTAAGTTTAGCTAGAGCATTGGCTAAGTTTAGCCAGATCGTTGGCTAAGTTTAGCCAGATCATTGGCTAAGTTTAACAAGATCATTGGCTAAGTTTAACAAGATCATTAGCTAATTTTAGCCAGATCATTGACTAAGTTTAGCCAGATTATTAGCTAAGTTTAGCCAGATCATTAGCTAAGTTTAGCCAGATCGTTGGCTAAGTTTAGCCAGATCATTGGCTAAGTTTAACAAGATCATTGGCTAAGTTTAGCCAGATTATTAGCTAAGTTTAGCCAGATCATTAGCTAAGTTTAGCCAGATCGTGTGGCTAAGTTAAGCCAGATCATTGGCTAAATTTAGTTCATAGGCTAAGTAAAATCAGATAAAGTTTATAGAGATCATTAAAACCCTGACGGGGGGGGGGTAAATTTTAGTATGTGTAACCCTATAAACGCTGGGGGGGCTTCTACTTATTTAAGGGAAAGTATTTTTTTTATAAATGAAGTACACGCTCGAAGTTTAATCCCCATGATGCAGGTGAAGTAGAGTGTATCTGGTTCAATAGCCCTGGCCCCAACTATGTGTGCAATGATGTATTTTGATTTAACAAATACGTTGATAACTATTTAACCAACATCATATCAACTATATTTCAGCAGTTAATCAATCAATTATTATTTTAACAATGTTGTATTAATCGTGTACCAAAATATTCTCTCAACCTATATGAATAATTAATTCCTGTATAATTTTTACAGGTATTAAGGGAACCCGAATTCCGTTTAAGGCACCAACACGAAAACCATCCATGGCCCATCGCGGTGAGTATACATTTTATTACTAGAGGATATACCCAAGCCCTAGCCCTAGCCCTAGCCCTAGCCCTAGCCCTAGCCCTAGCCCTAGCCCTAGCATTAACACAAACACAAGTCCTACCGTACTTCTAAAAATACAAATTACTGCTACAAAATTTCAAAAAGTATGTGTGCCTATAAACACAAGCTATAGATCACTGTTGAGAGAATATAAGCACTTTTTAGCGCAATTTCCATTCTGGAGAATTGCGTTTATTAACCCGTCATTTCTGTATGGATGGATGGATGGATGGATGTCCGCAGCTTTAAGTCGTATCTCCTCCTCAACGAAGCAATATCGAGGACTAGTTCCAAAAGCAAAAATGTTAAGCAAGTTCCGAGGATGATTGTGGGCCAAAACAATTCCCGGAATTCCTTCCTGGATTTCCCGGAAAAGCCAAAAAACCTCGAAAAAATGCAGTTTTTGGCCCAAATCTCGGCAACCAGACCACTTAGCGACTTGAACTCGATTCCTGTCATAATTTAGAACAATATTGCCGAAGAAAGTTTTCAAAAATATTCTTTCGTTCGGTCACAATTTTTTTTTAAAAATTACATTATACATAATACATTACAGTACTATATAGCAAAATCGGCAGTGGAAGGCGAAGGAGGACGAGGGTAAATCATGTGGCCTGGCTGGCTTAGCAGCGAACTCCGCGAGCCGCAAGCAAAGGAGGAGGAGCTAGTTTAAAAACAAACTTGATCACTATCTATTTTTAGACTATTATTTGAACATAAGGAAATTGCGCTTAAATTGTCACTAGACTTTTTATTAACTTTTATTTTTTACTGCGTTGGCGGAAACAAGAACTCGCTATTTACCTCTCTCTCTCTGACTCTCTTTCTCACACACACACACACACACCAATACATATATATATATATATATATATATATATATATATATATATATATATATATATATATATATATATATATATATATATATATATATATAGATAGATAGATAGATAGATAGATAGATAGATATATATATATATATATATAGCTATAGATATAGATATAGATATATATATATATATATATATATATATATATATATATATATATATATATATATATATATATATATATTCAGAAATAGAAACATAGATAAGTACTGTTGAATTTACCAATTATGAATTGTTGATCAGTACAAAATATCTCGTATCTATTTATATAATCCTCATCTTGGACACCATAGAAAACATTTAGCTGTAAGCGCGCCTAGCAGCCCCTCCTCTTCCTCTCTAGGCATATCCCTTCCACCCCCACCCCCACATGGTCTGGTGAGCTTTGGTTCACGCTAAATGTTTACAGTCGTAGAGTCGGGTTTAGTGACGGCTATTAGGGGCAGATAATTTAGATTGAAACGATTTTAAACTTAGGGGAGGTAACTAAGAGGAGGCTGCTTTCACTGGGGGGGGGTGTAGGGTAGGGGTTGAGGGAAAGGAGGGTGGGGGAGGATTGTCGTTGTTATAGTCCTAAACGACCAACTGATAATGTTTTAAAGCAAATATTTTCGGTGCCAGCATTGGTACTGTTGAATTCAAAAATTATGAATTACTGAAAAGTAGAAAATAAAACAACTAAATAGCGGCATATAATTCGCCGAGGGTCGGCTCGTATATATAATTCTCTTCATTGGGACCATGCGAGACACCAATACGTAAGCTCAACAAACCATATCGCTAACACCCACACCCCCACCCCCACCAGTCTGGTGAGGTGTTTACAATCGTAGTGACGGCTATAAGGGGTAGATAATTTAGTTTTTAAACTATTTGAAACCAAGGGGAGGTAATAACATGTTCTGCTTGCTCTTTTCGTTGAAGCCTGTAAACTGTCGTCACAGACGGCTGCTTTCACGGAGGCGGGGTGGGGTGGGGGGAGAGAAGTGGAATTGTGAGGGTAAGGATAATCGTCCTTCACGAGCTACTGATATTGTTTTAGAGCAAAACTTTTTCAGTCTCAGCATAGGTCCAGTTCACAAAGTATGAAAAATAGGAAATAAAACAACTAAATATCGGCGTATGCTACGTCGCGGGTCAGCTCGTATAGATTAATAGATAAATAGGTAAACAGATAAATCGATAAATAGAAAAACTGATAAATAGGTAGATCTATATAGTTTTATAGATGAATAGATAAATAAGTTAAAGAAATAGATATATGTATTGATATAGATTCGCCTAGCTGCATAGTTACAAACATGCACTGGTGCGATGATTTATGAGTACATGTATATACAAATATAAATATAAAAAAATTTATATATAGACGTATATAAATATATACACACACATATATATATAGATACATTTATATGTGTGTGTGTGTGTGTGTTAGAGTGTGAGTATCTCTGCATCACCACTAACACCCGCCAATTATTTTCTCTATTGACAGGCTCTATACTAACACTGGAGACAAGTAAGTATAGAGTTGTTTCGTCCTTCGAATTGTTTTAGTTCGTAGTTCGGGGCCTTGTGTTGTTTCATGCTTCGAATGATCTTAGTTCGTAGTTCGGGGCTTACCGTTGTTTCGTGCTTCGAATTGTTTTAGTTCGTAGTTCGGGGCCTTGTGTTGTTTCATGCTTCGAATGATCTTAGTTCGTAGTTCGGGGCTTACCGTTGTTTCGTGCTTCGAATTGTTTTAGTTCGTAGTTCGGGGCCTTGTGTTGTTTCATGCTTCGAATGATCTTAGTTCGTAGTTCGGGGCTTACCGTTGTTTCGTGCTTCGAATTGTTTTAGTTCGTAGTTCGGGGCCTTGTGTTGTTTCATGCTTCGAATGATCTTAGTTCGTAGTTCGGGGCTTACCGTTGTTTCGTCCTTCGAATTGTTTTAGTTCGTAGTTCGGTGCCTACTGCTGTTTCGTGCTTCGAATTGTGTTAGTTCTAAATTTGGGTCCTACCTCTGGTTTGTGGTTCGGATGGTTTTAATTCGCAGAATCCTGACGCTGTTTTCTAGTTCGAATGATTATAGTTCGTTTTTTTACGTCGCATTAATTAGCTTCCATTTTAGTCAGACCAATTTAAAAACCTGTTCCCTTTATTTGTCCCTGTGATAATCCATGTCAAGCTGCCCCACCGTTTTCTCTTTGGTTAGGTTGTATTTAATAAATCTGTGTACTAGTTCACATTTTTAAATAATGTTTAAGATTCGTTTCTTACGGCGATGACAATTCTTCCTGGTCTGATCATTTTAGATTGGGTGTCAGTGAAATATAATTCGCTGTATATAAATTTAGTGTCAAATAATAAAACTATTAATAACAGAAAAAAAAAACCTCGATGCTTTATAAAGTTATAAAAAATAATAGATATTAAGATAAGAGGGGGCTGCAGTTTAAATCTAGTAACTGATGTTTAAATTTTACTTCAAGGCTAATATCTAATTGTGTTGTTGTTTTTTTTAGGACGACGCTCGTCACCAAAGCCCTTGTTCACTGATGAAGAAATGAAAAGTTTGGAAGAGCGTTTCTGTAAGTGAAACGTAGCCGCTTTTAAAGTGGTCGTTTTTGTATGTGAAAGTTAGCCGCTTTTAAAGTGGTCGTTTTTGTAAGTGAAACGTAGCCGCTTTTAAAGTGGTCGTTTTTGTAAGTGAAACGTAGCCGCTTTTAAAGTGGTCGTTTTTGTAAGTGAAAGGTAGCCGCTTTTAAAGTGGTCGTTTTTGTAAGTGAAACGTAGCCGCTTTTAAAGTGGTCGTTTTTGTAAGTGAAAGGTAGCCGCTTTTAAAGTGGTCGTTTTTGTAAGTGAAACGTAGGCGCTTTTATAGTGGTCGTTTTTGTAAGTGAAACGTAGCCGCTTTTAAAGTGGTCGTTTTTGTAAGTGAAACGTAGCCGCTTTTAAAGTGGTCGTTTTTGTAAGTGAAACGTAGGCGCTTTTATAGTGGTCGTTTTTGTAAGTGAAACGTAGCCGCTTTTAAAGTGGTCGTTTTTGTAAGTGAAACGTAGCTGCTTTTAAAGTGGTCGTTTTTGTAAGTGAAACGTAGCCGCTTTTAAAATTGTCGTTTTTGTAAGTGAAAGGTAGCCGCTTTTAAAGTGGTCGTTTTTGTAAGTGAAAGGTAGCCGCTTTTAAAGTGGTCGTTTTTGTAAGTGAAACGTAGGCGCTTTTATAGTGGTCGTTTTTGTAAGTAAAACGTAGCCGCTTTTAAAGTGGTCGTTTTTGTAAGTGAAAGGTAGCCGCTTTTAAAGTGGTCGTTTTTGTAAGTGAAACGTATCCGCTTTTAAAGTGGTCGTTTTTGTAAGTGAAACGTAGCCGCTTTTAAAGTGGTCGTTTTTGTAAGTGAAAGGTAGCCGCTTTTAAAGTGGTTGTTTTTGTAAGTGAAACGTAGCCGCTTTTAATGTGGTCGTTTTTATAAGTGAAAGGTAGCCGCTTTTAAAGTGGTCGTTTTTGTAAGTGAAACGTAGTCGCTTTTAAAGTGGTCGTTTTTGTAAGTGAAACGTAGCCGCTTTTATAGTGGTCGTTTTTGTAAGTGAAACGTAGCTGCTTTTAAAGTGGTCGTTTTTGTAAGTGAAACGTAGCCGCTTTTAAAGTGGTCGATTTTGTAAGTGAAACGTAGCCGCTTTTAAAGAGGTCGTTTTTGTCAGTGGGGCTTAGCCGCTTTTAGAGCTGTCGTTTTTCTCAATGGAGCTTAGCCGCTTATAGAGCGGTCGTTTTTGTAAGATGAGCTTAGCTGCTTTTGGAGCGGTCGTTTTTATTAATGGAGCTTAGCCGCTTTTAGAGCGGTCTTTTATGTAAGTGGAGTTTAGCCTCCTATAGAGCGAACGTTTTTGTAAGATGAGCTTAACATCTTTTAGTAGTCGTTTTTGTGAGGGTAATTTGGTGTCTTTGTGATAAGATTGATGTATCTAATCATTTTTCCAATCATTTTTGTGAGTGTAAATTAGCATTTTTCTCGAACTTGTTAATTTCCTGTCAGTCACTTTTTTAAAACTAACTGAGTCCTTTTTTGTCAAATACTTGCTAAATTTTAACCTGTAATTTTGTCAAAAATTCTCTAAATTTAAAAACAGTGACGCTGTCAAACATTTTTTATTTTTAAATTTTAAACCAGTAAAGCCGTGAAATATTTACAAATATGAAATATTTCTATGTAGGGAAGACGAAAAAGGGTCGGAAAAAAACTAGCGCGGAATGGAACGAATACAGTGAGTATTATTTATATTTTTAGTACAGGGTTGGGTTTTAGTGTATTGCAAAGCTATATACATTTTACATGCTTGCATTTTTTGGTATCTGTCGCATACCTCTACATAGTTCAAACTTAGTAAAAAAAAAGTAGAGTACCCTATTCGAACCTAACGGTCCATTTCGGAGATGAAGTAGAGTTTACCTGTTTCAGTGAGCTCGGCATATAAAGAGATGGTGTTTTTTTTTTCACTATGCCTAACCACATTTACTTTTTCTAACATGAGTCAGAGCTGAGTGGTAAAAAGTAAAAGTTCCCTTTTCAAACCTGACGGTCTATGGGGCAAGTAAAGTAGAGTTCACTTGTTTCTGTGACCTCGGCATATGAAGAGATAGTGTGGTCAGCACTATGCCCAGCCGCCTTTACTTTCCCTAACGTGAGTTAGGTACCCATCTGAGTTGGGTGGACTCAGGAACGGTCTACTGACTTGAACCCGGGATTCGAACTCGAGTCTTACGGGTTAGCAGTCCAGCTCTCTACCGCTAGACCACTCCGTCCCACTGAGTGGACTAAGAGAAGTTTTAGTGGCTTGAACCCGGGATTCGAACTCGAGACTTTCAGGTTAGTCGTCTCACGTTAAACACACCCAAGAAAAAATTTCTTTCTGGACTTATTCATTACGACACCCCCCCCCCGCACCCCCACCCCTAAACCCAATTTTTTTTTTTAAACTTTATCCTCAGTGAAAACCCAGACAAAAAAGGCCAAAATACGTTTGGAGAAAATGGAAGGTAAGCTTGCTGATTTCTCATCTCTTGAGCAAGCGGTGGGCGGGGGAGGGGGGGGGAATAAAATTTAACAGGCGCGGTTTTACAATTGTGTTTAAATTAAACGAAACAAAAATAAAATCCTTTATAATAACAAGCTTAATTATGCACTAAAAAAGGTAAGAAAATAAAAAAACAAATATGAAAATCTTTATAATAACAAGCTTTATTATTATGCACTACAAAGCAAGAAAAACAAACTTTTATAATATCAAACTTTGTAATGTACTGAAAATAAGAAAAGAACCCAAAACAGGCACAAGAACCAACTAAGAAAGTTGTTTCGTGCTTCGAATGGTTTTAGTTCGTAGTTCGGGGGCCTACCGATGTTTCGTGTTTCGAATGGATTTAGTTCGTAGTTCGGGGGCCTACCGATGTTTCGTGCTTCAAATAGTTTTAGTTCGTAGTTCGGGGGCCTACCGATGTTTCGTGTTTCGAATGGTTTTAGTTCGTAGTTCGGGGGCCTACCGATGTTTCGTGCTTCAAATAGTTTTAGTTCGTAGTTCGGGGGCCTACCGATGTTTCGTGTTTCGAATGGTTTTAGTTCGTAGTTCGGGGGCCTACCGATGTTTCGTGCTTCGAATGGTTTTAGTTCGTAGTTCGGGGGCCTACCGATGTTTCGTGTTTCGAATGGATTTAGTTCGTAGTTAGGGGCCTACCGATGTTTCGTGCTTCGAATGGTCCATCATGAGATTTTCTTACATATTTCAGCGACGCAACGCAGAGAAAGCGCGTTTATTTTCTTTATTTTCAGTGCATTCAAAAGCGTATTATTATATTTGTTTTTATATTTGTTTTATTTTCCAAATTTTAGTCACTTGTTCACAATAAAGTTGGCACCACATAAGCTTCGACTCCACCTACCTTGCGACATTGAACCACTACGACCCAGTTAATAACGCTTGTAAAATATGCCATACATTTCTATTTTACAGAACAGGACACCAGCGCTGCTTTCGTCCCATCCATCCAGTCGAGTAAGTTCTTTTCTTTTAGAATTACTGTTATTAAAATGATGTTAAATAAAAGCTATTTTAGAATTACTGTTATTAAAATAATGTTAAATAAAGGGTATTTTAGAATTACTATTATTAATATACTGTTAAATAAAGGGTATTTTAGAATTACTGATATTAAAACAACGTTAAATAAAGACTATTTTAGAATTAATGATACGAAAATAATGTTAAATAAAGGCTATTTTAGAATTACTGTTATTAAAATAATGTTAAATAAAGGATATTTTAGAATTACTGTTATTAAAACAACGTTAAATAAAGGCTATTTTAGAATTACAATTATTACAAATATAATTAACAACGTTAAAAAAAGGCTTTTTTAGAAAGAATTACTATAATTAATATACTGTTAAATAGAGGGTTTTTAGAATTAATGTTATTAAAATGATGTTAAATAAAAGCTTTTTGAGAATTACTGTTATTACAATAATGTTAAATAAAGGGTATTTTAAAATTACTGTTATTTAAATAATGTTAAATAAAGGCACCGCCAGGCAGAAAGTTAAAACTACTTCCTGCCATAACCCTAACTATAACCAAGAAATCTAAATCAGACCATGCTAAACTTAACCACGAATTTTGTTTACTTCAACATCGGTACTGGGAGATTCACAGATGTGTGTAAGCGGTCCCTTGTTTATCACCCTCTCTTCTAATCTCGGCTGTGTGTCTAGATCCGGGGTCTCCAAACTACGGCCCGCGGGCCGGATGCGGCCCGCAAGGTCCTCTCATCCGGCCCGCGTAGATCTTTTTGTCCACGGAAAAAAAAATTAAGAAACTGGCCCCTGAACTGATTTTTGATAGTTAATGCGGCCCTCGGGCTGAAAAGTTTGGAGACCCCTGGTCTAGATGTATCTAATTTTATTTAGTTCGTAACAATATACAGAAGAAATAAAACTTCTTTTGTTTGCTTAATTGAGTAATAAAACTAATTAAAAAAAATTTAATATGTGAACATTTAACTGTTCCGTTGTTTTTTTTTCAGCTGACAGCAAAGATGAAGACGGAAGCATAATAGTCACGGGTAAAGGTAAACATCTAAGCCAGGGGTTCCCAACCTATTTTTACTCTAGAGCACATTCTAAAATATCGGTAGGATGGCGGGCACCACCTATACCACCTGTTTTAAATCGACAAACTCCTTCCAGAGGCGTAGCGACCCTTCCCGTCACCCGGGACAAAACTTTCGATTTGCACCCCCCCCCCCCTCAAACTTTCGATTTCCATCCCCTTCAATCTTTCAATAATGTTTATGAAAAAAATTCTGTCTCTGTCGAATAGTGAGAGGCGGGCACATACGAATCATTCGGCGGGCGCCATGGCGCCCGCGGGCACGGGGTTGGGAACCCCTGATCTAAGCCTAAATTATTACTACGTAATGGTCATTACCTGTTTTACGCCCGAATAAGGGGTGGGGGTGTTTGTTGTGAATCCAGTGCGTCGAGCAACCACTAACGCCTAATGGGTTACAAAACACAAGGCTGATTAAAACGAAGGCTAGTTAACACTTAAAACGAGTTTCATACTATCTACACTATCTACACTATCTACACTACCTACACTATCTACACTATCTACACTACCTACACTATCTACACTAATTACACTATCTACACTATCTACACTACCTACACTACCTACACTATCTGCACTATCTACACTACCTACACTATCTGCACTCTCTACACTATCTACACTATTTACACTATCAACACTATCTACACTATCTACACTACCTACACTATCTACACTACCTACACTACCTACACTATCTACACTATCTACACTACCTACACTATCTGCACTCTCTACACTATCTACACTATTTACACTATCAACACTATCTACACTATCTACACTACCTACACTATCTACACTATCTACACTATCTACACTACCTACACTATCTACACTACCTACACTATCTACACTATCTACACTATCTACACTATCTACACTATCTACACAAACACAGGCTATTATAAATAGTAACAAAAGCTAGTACACAAAACTACGATACAGTCGCTATATAAATGTACACAGAACTAACACAAACTAGTACACATAACTACGATACAGTGGCTATAGAAAAGTACACAGAACTAACACAAACTAGTACACATAACTACGATACAGTGGCTATATAAAAGTACACAGAACTAACACAAACTAGTACACAAAACTACGATACAGTGGCTATAGAAAAGTACACAGAACTAACACAAACTAGTACACAAAACTACGATACAGTGGCTATAGAAAAGTACACAGAACTAACACAAACTAGTACACATAACTACGATACAGTGGCTATATAAAAGTACACAGAACTAACATACACTATCCTGGTAGAAGAACTGGACCAGGCATCATACATGTTCTCAAACACCTTTTGTATACGCAGAGGGGGGGGGGGGGGAGGCGGGGGTGCGGACCGCACCGGGTGACACCATTTAGGGGGTGACACCAAGGCAAAATATAGCAAAACATATAGAGAAAAATGATAATTTCACTTAAGTAAGTGATTAATTCGAGTGTTAAATAGTCTTTTAAGAGGTGGAAATCGAACGTTTTAAGGGGGGGAGATGCAAAACGAAAGTTTGAGGGGGAGTGCAAATCGAAAATTGAAAGTTTGTTCCCGGGAAAGGTCGCTACGCCTCTGGGGGGGGGGGGGGTGACACCATTAAGTGCCGCACCGGGTGACACCCGACCTCGCTACGCCACTGTGTACATGAACGCAAACAGATACAAACTGGAATATCATCATATGACTGATACAACTCACCGTACGGGGATTGAACAGGGACAGGGTAAATAAGTACAGTATAGGTTGGCTTTGCGATAGTGGTTGCGTTTTGAATTTGGTTCGTTTTTGTTCTTTCTTTTTTCGTTTTCGTTTTTTTTTTGGGTTTGTGTTTGTATTTGTGTTTGTGGTTGGTTTTGCGTTTGGATTTGGTTTGTTTTCGTTTGCTTTTTCGTTTGTGTTTTTTTTCTTTGGGTTTGTGTTTGTGGTTGGTTTTGCGTTTGGATTTGGTTTGTTTTCGTTTGTTTTTTCGTTTGTTTTTTTCTTTGTGTTTGTATTTGTGTTTGTGGTTGGTTTTGCGTTTGGATTTGGTTTGTTTTCGTTTGTTTTTTCGTTTGTTTTTTTCTTTGTGTTTGTATTGGTGTTTGTGGTTGTGGTTGGGTTTGTTGTTAGGTTTTTGTTTTCGTTTGTATTTGTAATTGTGTTAGCGTTATGTTTGCGTTTTGTTGTTTTGGTTTTGGTTGGTTGTGGTTTGGGTGGGCAATGCCGGGTTTATGATGATTACTAAACACACAGGTAATGGTCTTTAACAGAAAGGTTTTTCACAGAAGCCAGAGCAGGGCCTGGCCGGGACGGCTAGTAAAGTGATAAAACACATATTCCCTTTTGTGTAATACACACATGTTTTTATTCGCTTTAAACATAGAAAAATGTTGTTGTTTTTTTTTTATTTCAGAGGAAAGAAAGAGGAGCGACCCTGCAATTGTGCCTACCACTGAGAAAGGTAGGTGTGGTCGGTTGGGATGTAGATGTTGGAAAAATGGGGAGCGGTGGCGAGGGGCGTAAGGAAGACAGTGTGTACAGGACTGACCAGTGTGTACATGACTGACCTGTGGGTGCAGGACTGACCAGTGGGTACAGGACTGTGGGTACAGGACTGACCAGTGGGTACAGGACTGTGGGTACAGGACTGTGGGTACAGGACTGTGGGTACAGGACTGACCAGTGGGTACAGGACTGTGGGTACAGGACTGTGGGTACAGGACTGACCAGTGGGTACAGGACTGTGGGTACAGGACTGACCAGTGGGTACAGGACTGACCAGTGTGTACAGGACTGTGGGTACAGGACTGTGGGTACAGGACTGACCAGTGGGTACAGGACTGTGGGTACAGGACTGACCAGTGGGTACATGACTGACCAGTGTGTACAGGACTGTGGGTACAAGACTGACTTGTGTGTACAGGATTGACCAGTGGGTACAGGACTGTGGGTACAGGACTGACCAGTGGGTACATGACTGACCAGTGTGTACAGGACTGTGGGTACAAGACTGACTTGTGTGTACAGGATTGACCAGTGGGTACAGGACTGTGGGTACAGGACTGACCAGTGGGTACATGACTGACCAGTGTGTACAGGACTGTGGGTACATGACTGACCTGTGGGTACAGGACTGACCAGTGTGTACAGGACTGTGGGTACAAGACTGACTTGTGGGTACAGGACTGTGTGTACAAAACTGACTTGTGGGTACAAGACTGACTTGTGTGTACAGGATTGACCAGTGGGTACAGGACTGAACATTTAGTACAGTAATAACAAGTACAGATAGAACCAACCAGCGAGTATTCAAAAGAGCTCACTTGGGAGCTAGTCCCGAGGTTATCGAGCTAAGCAGTTTTGGGGACTGCTTGTTACGTTTTGTTCAAATGTTGAATGCATGTGTAAAAAATGTAAGGGTAGGTATAAAAAAAAGACTAACACTTACAATTTTTAAATTGTCTTCACTGATTAGAGTAGTACACATTTATTTGCATAGGATTATTATTCTCATTATAAGTCTGTCTTAAAATTTAAATAGAAATTCTTCTATTTATCTCTGTTTCTTTACAGTTCAAACGAGAAGGAGATCACTTACTGTTGAAGGTACTGTTAAGTATGTTTTATCTGATAGTTATAGTTACATAACGTGTGAATCCTTGATTGTAAGGTGTGTCCGTGTTTATCAAACACCGCCATCATTTAGAATACCGCTAAAACCACTGCAAAGTTGTTCCTAGGTGCTTTGACCATAGCGGAGCTTTGACCATAGGGGGTTTGACCATAGGGGGTTTGACCATAGGGGGTTTGACCACAGCGGGGCTTTGATCACAGATGTGCTTTGACCATAGGGGTTTGACCACAGCGGGGCTTTGACCATAGGGGGTTTGACCATAGGTGCTTTGACCATAGGGGGTTTGACCATAGGGGGTTTGACCACAGCGGAGCTTTGACGATAGAGGCTTTGACCATAGGGGGTTTGACCATAGGGGGTTTGACCATAGGGGGTTTGACCACAGCGGAGCTTTGACGATAGAGGCTTTGACCATAGGGGGTTTGACCACAACGGGGCTTTGACCCGCTGTGGTCAAAACCCCTATGGTCAAAACACCTGTGGTCAAAGGTCCGCGCACCGCAAAGTTTCACATACAAAGACAAAGCAGAAAAACAACGATATGATAGGTTCGACTGAGTCAAAAGGTTTATACAATAGAAGATCATTCGTTTTTTTGTAAATATTAAAACTGATAAATCATGGAAAACTGGAATGAGGTGAAACAAGCAAAATCACCTGACATGCACTAGATGGGAACCCGCATGGAAAGAGGAAAGTAGGTTGTCCTAAAAACATTTAAGTCAGGTATAGGGGAAGTTGAAGTTTGGTGGAATTAGTAAGGACAGAGGAAGAGTTGGGCAGAGGAAGAGTTGGGCAGAGGAAGAGTTGGGCAGAGGAAGAGTTGGGCAGAGGAAGAGTTAGGCAGAGGAAGAGTTAGGCAGAGAAAAATTTGGGCAGAGGAAGAGATGGGCAGAGGAAGAGTTAGACTGAGGAAGAGTTGGGCAGAGGAAGAGTTGGGCAGAGGAAAATTTGGGCAGAGGAAGAGATGGGCAGAGGAAGAGTTAGACAGAGGAAGAGTTGGGCAGAGGAAAATTTGGGCAGATGTAGAGTTACGCCCCCGCCTATTGCGTGACCTGAAGCGCCCCGGGCAATATGGCGCCTACGTTCGTTTTAAATAAAGGCTATACAGCAAAGACACGTTGGGCAACAATAATCGTTGACTATGTGGAATCACGTTTTCATTTTCCCCTGCATGATGTGATTTGGCGCCCTGGGCTTTCCCGTGAGCGCAATGTCGCCTACGTTCATTGTAAACAGTTCGATAACTATGCATAAGATGGGGTTTTAGACTCGTTCACTAAAAATAATCAGGCGCTTCCGCGGGCACACCGGTAGGGTGCGATTTGACGCCCTGCGCTATCATGTGAGCACTATGGCGCATATGTTACTTTTAAGGAGAACCCTAGAATATTGATAAGTCGGCACACCGATGATTAAACCGAGCCAAAACGGAAGTGGCGCCCTTGCGGTAGTGAAATCGTGAGCTCACGAGAACTTGCTCTACGTCCACGACACTTTGGTGTGTGATTAACGGTGATATTACGGTGAGTGATTAACGTACACTCTAGGCTTTCGTACAGCACGACACGTGCTGGGTTGTAGTGTAGGTAAACCCGTAAAATATGATCCAAGCCCAGGCAAGGTTTACACTTAAGTAACTCAGTTTTAGAAAACAAAATCACACGTTTAAGAATATAGGATTGGTAAAGCATTGATGAAACCCTCCTAATATATTTTATCAGACTTGATTTGTCTTTCATGCATTACTACATCTGTCATCCGATCGCCATGAAACTTTGGGAAGTTGTTGAGAAAACACATGGGGAGGTTTCTGCGAAAAATTATTTCAATTTCGCATGGGCGAAATATATATATATATATATATATATATATATATATATATATATATATATATATATATATATATATATATATATATATATTTGAGGGCTGGGGTTGAAAAAACTAATTAATTAAACTGTTTAGTAATTTTCCAAGGGAGGTAATTTTAAAATAAATTCAACTCACGCTAATAAAGAAAATGTGAATGCAAAATCTATGGACATACAAGATGGAATTATTGTTGCAATATTATAATTAGCAAAATGTGAATGCAAATTTATGAGTGTTGTCTTTTGTGTTGTCGTTTGTGTTTGAATTGTGTTTGTTTGCATTGTGATTGTGTTTTCTTTTGTGTTTGTGTTTTTATTTGTGTTTTTGTTGTGTTTGTGTTGTGTTGTGTTTGTGTTGTGTTTGTGTTGTGTTTGTGTTGCGTTTGTGCTGCGTTTGTGTTGTGTTTAGTTTTGTTCTGTTCTCAAGTTGGTAAATTTAAATTTTTTTTACCGTGGCGGTGCACGGGTATGCAGCTAGTATATATATATATATATATATATATATATATAATATATATATATATATATATATATATATATATATATATATATATATATATATATATATATATATATATATATATATATATATATATTTATAAATGTTTCTAAAGGCACGAGCAATAGAACCAAGATGTCCAGTGTTGTATCAAGTAAGTTGTTATATGCGCACTGGGTTGGTTAAGTGGTTTACTGCATGGTTGGTTAAGTGGTTTACTGCATGGTTGGTTAAGTGGTTTACTGCATGGCAGGTAAAGTGGTTTACTGCATGGTTGGTTCAGTGGTTGAATCCATGGTTGGTTTTGTGGTTGACTGCATGGTTGGTTTAGTGGTTGACTGCACGGTTGATTTAGTGGTAGGATTCTAGGGTTGATCTGTGGGTTCACCGTATGTTGGCGTTTAGATTGACAACCTGTTTGGTTGAGTGGTTGACTGCATGGTTGGTGATGACGGTATAGAGGTTGTAACGTTAGTGGTTGTCTTTCTGGTTGTCTTAATCAATGCATTTTTCTGCATGGTTGGTTAATGTGATGACCACAAAACTGGTTAGTTATCTGAGTGGTTGAGTCGTTGGTTGGTTGGGTGGTTATGCAGTTGAGAGGTTCAGTGGTTGGGTGGTTGAGATGTTGTGTGGTTGTGTGTTTGAGGGGGTTGAGTGTTTGAGAGGTTGAGGGGTTGTGGTTGTGTGGTTGGGTGGCTGAGTGGTTGTGTAGTTGAGTGGTTGGGTGGTTGTTGGTGTGTGAGTAATTGAGTGGTGATTAAGTTGTTGAAAGCAAATCGTTATCAATCACTGCATTCGGTTTAATCTGAATAGTAAATACACAGCATGCTAGCGTGCGCAAGTCTCGTATGTTACTATCTGTACCTTACATACGACAACAGCGATCACCAATCTAACTAGCCTCTTTTTAAGTTTATTTTCCTACCGACAAATAAGCGTTACATTTACTCATAATTATTCATTTTCAGACATAACAAAAATAAAGAAAACTTTTGTGGACCGTAAGTTTAATTATATAATGAGTATATATATATATATATATATATATATATATATATATATATATATATATATATATATAACGCTATATATACGTATATATAATAATATGTAAATATATAAATGCATTATATATTATATATATATATATATATATATATATATATATATATATATATATATATATATATATATATATATATATTAATGTTTATATGTTTTTAATTATATATATATATATATTAATGTTTATATGTTTTTAATTATAATTATATAATTATAATTAGATTGCCACATGTGCTTATTTAGTCTTTGTTATTATCAAATGTGCATACAATATTTACATCTTTCTTCTAAAGCTAGACGTCGAAAAGCTACTGAAATCCCAGCTACACGTAAGTTTTTAAAATGTACGATGGTAGCTAGTTGACACGCATTTATTGGCGGTCGCAAATTACCTTTTTTATTAAAAAAATAAACTACACGTTTACCTACCAAACTGAGTTGTAATAGCTCAGTTATCATTTTTTTTTTATTTACTCACACACGAAACAAATGTTATTATATTGTATAGATATTATTAATTTCATCTATCTAAAAAAAAAAATTTTAAATAAAATAATCTGTGCCTACCTATTCTTTAGCCGCTGATACAACTGCAGAAACTACCAAAGAAGAAATTTTGATAACTATACAGCCAAAAGACGACAATAAAGACAATATAGGTAAAAAAAAACATTTATCTCAGGATCTTTTCCAGTACAGAAAAGCCATGATTTAGCCACATAACCACTTTTTAGCGCAATTTCCATTCTGGAGAATTGCGTGTGAGAATTGCGTGTATTAACCCGTCATTTCTGGATGTATGAATGTATGAATGAATGGATGGATGGATGGATGGATGTGTGTCCGCAGCTTTAAGTCGTATCTCCTCCTCAACGAAGCAATATCGATGACTAGTTCCCAAAGCAATTATGTTAAGCAAGTTACGAGGGTGAACAAAGGCCATAAAAATTCCGGGTTTCTTTCATGGATTTCCCGGAAAAGCCAAAAAACCTCGAAAAAAGCAGGTTTTGGCCCATATCTCGGCAACCAGACCACTTAGCGACTTGAAACATGTACCAATCGATTCCTGCCATAATTTAGAACAATATTACCGAACAAGTTTTCAAAAATATCCTTTCGTTCGGTCACAAAAAATTTTTTGAATTAATTAAAATTTTGACCGAATTAGTAGGCATATTTATCCAACCACACCACACGCGTCATCACGTTCTATTGTAAATAAAACATGTAAAATACTGAAAAAAATTTAATAAAAAACGTTTTAATAACTAACCAATGGTTTTACTAACCCTGCTCTTGATTTACGCTACGACAGAGTTATTTTTAGATAACATAAGGAAATTGCGCTAAAATTGTCACTAGACTTTTTAATTAACTTGTTTTTTTTTCAACACAACCAATCAACACAACCAATCAACACAACCAATCAACACAACCAATCAACACAACCAATCAACACAACCAATCAACACAACCAATCAACACAACCAATCAACACAACCAATCAACACAACCAATCAACACAACCAATCAACACAACCAATCAACACAACCAATCAACACAACCAATCAACACAACCAATCAACACAACCAATCAACACAACCAATCAACACAACCAATCAACACAACCAATCAACACAACCAATCAACACAACCAATCAACACAACCAATCAACACAACCAATCAACACAACCAATCAACACAACCAATCAACACAACCAATCAACACAACCAATCAACACAACCAATCAACACAACCAATCAACACAACCAATCAACACAACCAATCAACACAACCAATCAACACAACCAATCAACACAACCAATCAACACAACCAATCAACACAACCAATCAACACAACATTTCAGCGGTATCTCTTCCCACAATACAAACACTACACAATCACTTTCCACAACACAATCTCCACACAATCATTGCTCGTACATCACCACCACCAATCACCACACAATCATTGCTCGTACATCTCCACCACCAATCACCACATAATCATTGCTCGTACATCTCCACCACCAATCACCACACAATCATTGCTCGTACATCTCCACCACCAATCACCACACAATCATTGCTCGTACATCTCCACCACCAATCACCACACAATCATTGCTCGTACATCTCCACCACCAATCACCACACAATCATTGCTCGTACATCTCCACCATCAATCACCACACAATCATTGCTCGTACATCTCCGCCACCAATCACCACACAATCATTGCTCGTACTTTCCACACCACCAATCACACAATCATTGCTCTTACAATCCACACCACCAATCTCCTTACACAAACATTGCTCTTACAATCCACACCACCAATCTCCCTACACAATCATTGCTCTTACAATCCACACCACCAATCTCCCTACACAATCATTGCTCTTACAATCTACATCACCGATCTCAATTCAATTATTGCTGTTACAATCCTCATCACCAATCTTCACACAATCATTCCTATCTCTCAGACGACGACGTAGTGAGTGTGACAAGCAGGCTTTCAACCGGCTCAAAGCACAGAAAAAGCACAGCACAAGACAAGAGAAGGGGCTCAACGTCATCGGTTAAAAGCAAGTCGGGGCGAAGTAGTATGGTGGTCCACCCGCTCAAAGGTAGGCAGTGGCGTAGCGAGGTCGGGTGTCACTTGGTGCGGCACTTAATGGTGTCACCCCCCCCCCCCCAGAGGCGTAGCGACCCTTCCCGGGGACAAACTTTCAATTTTCGATTTTTTGATTTGCACCCCCCCCCTCACACTTTCGATTTGCATCCCCCCTCTAAAATTTTTCTTTATATATTTTGCTATTTTTTGCCTCGGTGTCATCCCCTTCAATGGTATCACCTGGTCCGCACCCCCGCCCCCCCCCCTCGCTACGCCTCTGAAAGTAGGCAACTTTGGTGATCCACCAGCTTAATGGTAGGCAACTTTGGTGGTCTACCAGTTTAATGGTAGGCAACTTTGGTGGTCCACCAATTTAAAGGTAGGCAACTTTGGTGGTCCACCAATTTAAAGGTAGGCAACTTTGATGGTCTACCAGCTTAAAGGTAGGCAACTTTGGTGGTCCACCAGTTTAATGGTAGGCAATTGGTGATCCACCAGCTTAAAAGTAGGCAACTTTGGTGGTCCACCAATTTAAAGGTAGGCAACTTTGGTGGTCCACCAGTTTAATGGTAGGCAAATTCGGTGGTCCACCAATTTAAAGGTAGGCAACTTTGATGGTCCACCAATTTAAAGGTAGGCAACTTTGGTGGTCCACCAGCTTAAAGGTAGGCAAATTCGGTGGTCCACCAATTTAAAGGTAGGCAACTTTGATGGCCCACCAGCTTAAAGGTAGGCAAATTCGGTGGTCCACCAATTTAAAGGTAGGCAACTTTGATGGCCCACCAGCTTAAAGGTAGGTAACTATGGTGGTCCACCAGTTTAATGGTAGGCAATTGGTGATCCACCAGCTTAAAAGTAGGCAACTTTGGTGGTCCACCAATTTAAAGGTAGGCAACTTCTAACATGCTGGTCCATCACCTCTAAGGTAGGAAATGAAAATAGTGCCTCGTTCAGCCAACACCTAAAAAAAAAATTCATAAAAAACGTTTTAATAACAAGCTTTTATGTAATGATGCACTAAAAAGTAGAAAATAAATTATAGACTACTATTTAAATAACTATAAAGAAAAGCGTGGGTCACTTTAGTATCTATTGGATACCTTTACTAATGTTAAGGAAGACACCCACGCTTTTCTTTATAGTTATTTAAATAGTAGTCTATAATTTATTTTCTACTTTTTAGTGCATCATTACATAAAAGCTTGTTATTAAAACGTTTTTTATGAATTTTTTTTTCAGTACTTTACATGTTTTATCTACAATAGAGTTACATGACTAAAAACCATTGCGCGCCTACTGAATATCACGTTCAGTAGGCGCGCAATGGTTTTTGAACGCAGCCATTACGTGGTCGTGATGGCGCAGCTATTGATGACGCGTGTGGTGTGGTTGGCTAGACATGCCTACTAATTCGGTCCAAATTTTAATTAATTCATAAAAAATCAATTAGGCATCCAATTAAGTCAAATTTAGTTTCAGATTGTATTGTCTTCATGTCTTGACCCACGTGCCAACTGTGAATCGTGTCGGTCAAGTAGAACTGTCCGAATTTTCACTCCTGCGTTTCCGTCTAGACAGACTGACGACTGACGACTGACGACTGACGAGGAAGTGAGTTAAATAAAAGCTTGTAAAAACGTTAAAACTGGCCTAATTGTTTACAAAATGATAACCAAAACATAATTTCAATTTGTATGTAACAGGTAGTTTTCTGTATCAAAATGTGACTCCAATACTCATTATGATTTTACGTATGTCTATAATGAACTGTGTAATCCAGGAATGATGGATGATGCGTAGGTTCATTGTTTAGAATCACATTAAAAGTGTACAGGTTTTGTTTGTTGCTTTATACATTGCCTTTTTACAATGTGTATACAGTTTTTAAGTTGAAATACGTATAAAACTGACTTTCTCCTAAAACTGCTTCGAATTATGTTACAAAGAATCAAAGTCGCCCCCCCCCCCCAATCTAGATTACTCTTCAAAATAAAGCATACCAAATACACATAAATCAAACATCAGTTTTTAATTCACTTTGTTTGTTTAAAAGTTTCTCCAACATATACTGTCACAAGATTCTGTCCCTCCTTACTGGAACATTGTTATGAAAGTCAGAATTATTCTCTTCTCATGTTCCCCAACTTGTACATTCATAAGGTGTTACATCATGCATTGGCGCTCAAACTTATCGTGTGTTTGACTTTATAGTGACACTCTGTTTCAGACTTTATGGTAACGCCCTGTTTCAGACTTTATAGTGACGCCCTGTTTCAGACTTTATAGTGACGCCATGTTTCAGACTTTATAGTGACGCCCTGTTTCAGACTTTATAGTGACGCCCTGTTTCAGACTTTATAGTGACACCCTGTTTCAGACTTTATAATGACGCCCTGTTTCAGACTTTATAGTGACGCCCTGTTTCAGACTTTATAGTGACGCCCTGTTTCAGACTTTATAGTGACGCCCTGTTTCAGACTTTATAGTGACGCCCTGTTTCAGACTTTATAGTGACGCCCTGTTTCAGACTTTATAGTGACGACCTGTTTCAGACTTTATAGTGACACCCTGTTTCAGACTTTATAATGACGCCCTGTTTCAGACTTTATAGTGACGCCCTGTTTCAGACTTTATACTGACGCCCTGTTTCAGACTTTAAAGTGACGCCCTGTGTCAGACTTTTTAGTGACGCCCTGTTTCAGACTTTATAGTGACGCCCTGTTTCAGACTTTATAGTGACGCCCTGTTTCAGACTTTATAGTGACACCCTGTTTCAGACTTTGGTGACGCCATGTTTAAGACTTTATAGTGACACCCTGTTTCAAACTTTATAGTGACACCCTGTTTTAGACTTTATAGTGACGCCCTGTTTCAGACTTTATAGTGACACCTTGTTTAAGACTTTATAGTGACACCCTGTTTAAGACTTTATAGTGACACCCTGTTTAAGACTTTATAGTGACACCCTGTTTCAGACTTTATAGTGACGCCCTGTTTCAGACTATGGTGACGCCCTGTTTAAGACTTTATAGTGACACCCTGTTTCAGACTTTATAGTGACAACCTGTTTCAGACTTTATAGTGACAACCTGTTTCAGACTATGGTGACGCCCTGTTTCAGACTTTATAGTGACGCCCTGTGTCACACTTTATAGTGACGCCCTGTTTCAGAATTTATAGTGACGCCCTGTTTCAGACTTTATAGTGACGCCCTGTTTCAGACTTTATAGTTTCACCCTGTTTCAGACTATGGTGACGCCCTGTTTAAGACTTTATAGTGACACCCTGTTTCAGACTTTATAGTGACGCCCTGTTTCAGACTTTATAGTGAAACTCTATTTCAGACTTTATAGTGACGCCCTGTTTCAGACTATAGTGACACCCTGTTTCAGACTTTATAGTGACACTCTATTTCAGACTTTATAGTGACGCCTTGTTTCAGACTTTATAGTGACGCCCTGTTTCAGACTTTATATTGACGCCTTGTTTCAGACTTTATAGTGACGCCATGTTTCAGACTTTATAGTGACACCCTGTTTCAGACTTTATAGTGACACCCTGTTTCAGACTTTATAGTGACACCCTGTTTCAGACTTTATAGTGACACCCTATTTCAGATTTTATAGTGACGCCCTGTTTCAGACTTTATAGTGACGCCCTGTTTCAGACTTTATAGTGACGCCCTGTTTCAGACTTTATAGTGACGCCCTGTTTCAGACTTTATAGTGACACCCTGTTTCAGACTATGGTGACGCCCTGTTTAAGACTTTATAGTGACACCCTGTTTCAGACTTTATAGTGACGCCCTGTTTCAGACTTTATAGTGACACCCTGTTTCAGACTATGGTGACGCCCTGTTTAAGACTTTATAGTGACACCCTGTTTCAGACTTTATAGTGACGCCCTGTTTCAGACTTTATAGTGACACCCTGTTTCAGACTATGGTGACGCCCTGTTTAAGACTTTATAGTGACACCCTGTTTAGGACTTTATAGTGACGCCCTGTTTCAGACTTTATAGTCACACCCTGTTTCAGACTTTATAGTGACACCCTGTTTAGGACTTTATAGTGACGCCCTGTTTCAGACTTTATAGTGACACCCTGTTTCAGACTTTATAGTGACACTCTATTTCAGACTTTATAGGGACGCCCTGTTTCAGACTTTATAGTGACACCCTGTTTCATACTTTATAGTGACACCCTGTTTCAGACTTTATAGTGACGCCCTGTTTCAGACTTTATAGTGACGCCCTGTGTCAGACTTTATAATGACGCCCTGTTTCAGACTTTATGGTGACGCCCTGTTTTGGACTTTATAGTGACACCCTGTTTAGGACTTTATAGTGACACCCTGTTTCAGACTTTATAGTGACGCCCTGTTTCAGATTTTATAGTGACGCCCTGTTTCATACTTTATAGTGACGCCCTGTTTCAGACTTTATAGTGACGCCCTGTTTCAGACTTTATAGTGACGCCCTGTTTCAGACTTTATAGTGACACCCTGTTTAGGACTTTATAGTGACAACCTGTTTCAGACTTTATAGTGACACCCTGTTTCAGACTTTATAGTGACACTCTATTTCAGACTTTATAGTGACGCCCTGTTTCAGACTTTATAGTGACACCCTGTTTCAGACTTTATAGTGACACCCTGTTTCAGACTTTATAGTGACGCCCTGTTTCAGACTTTATAGTGACGCCCTGTGTCAGACTTTATAGTGACGCCCTGTTTCAGACTTTATAGTGACGCCCTGTTTAGGACTTTATAGTGACACCCTGTTTAGGACTTTATAGTGACACCCTGTGTCAGACTTTATAGTGACGCCCTGTTTAGGACTTTATAGTGACACCCTGTTTAGGACTTTATAGTGACGCCCTGTGTCAGACTTTATAGTGACGCCCTGTTTCAGACTTTATAGTGACGCCCTGTTTCAGACTTTATAGTGACACTCTATTTCACACTTTATAGTGACGCCTTGTTTCAGACTTTATGGTTTTGTAAATCAAATAGC